GTTATAGTTGAGATTTGTTAAACATTATGGGAGCGATTAAGTTTTTCGAGGTGGACATAATTGGTTGAAGAGTGGGAAATATAGCAACTGCGTAAAAAGCCTTTTCTAACTGTTGTGAATGTGCAGTAAAATGTGCAAAAGTGGAAAGACAGAGACCGTTAATTAGTGCAAGGAAAGTTTGCAAAAATTATTTGAACATGACCCTGTTTACAGTTAACTGATTGGACTTTATGAGGATTTAAATTCAGTTGTAATGAGAAGTGTATATTTATCAAATTATTTGAATATTTTTTGATTCACAATTTATTTTCCCTATTAGACTTACCCCCAAGTGGTGCACCCTAGGCAACGTAAACTCATGCGGCAAAAATGTCACAAAAGTCGAGAGGGAGAACAGAAGAGTGATTTACATACGTAAAGGGACAGACACAAAGGCAGAGAAAAGGTAGGATGAGTACTGTGGAAGGGGTCGGATATGACATACAGTGGGGTGATGGCAGTTTGAAGTCAGAAGTCAACTGCCGGTTAATAGAATTTTTTGCCATATGAGTATACGTTGCCCAGGGTGCACCATGTGGGGTGAGTCTATCGCACACCCTATAAAAAATTATAATACTCCTCTTTGAAAGGTGTTAAGTAATGCTTTTATCGCAGTTCAAAATTTAGCCCACATTGAGCTACGAAGGCAAAAGTGTGTTGAATAAGCCACAACGAGGATTCGAAAGAGTAGAGGAGAGTGGAGATGGGGAGATGAGGAGAGGATCGTAAAAGCATCTCCGTTCATGTGCGTGTGTGAGTGGGTTGATACGTGAGTATATGTGTCATTCGGTCGAAGATGCGCATGAGGGTATGAATGCTGTAGAACATTTTAATGAATCGGAACAGCTGCAACTATAAGTGAATCAATTTATTTGTTTAGGGTTAGCAAAGCATGATCCAAGTTCTAAGATATAAAGGAGTAAAATCAGATAATTTTTAGAAAACAAAACATGACACAAAAGAAATAAGCTATTACACCAGTGACTGTGGTTTGTTAAAGCCTTTAACACCCATGGAACCGTACGGCCGTCTTTCAAGATAAGCTAATTTGCTACAATACTCGTAACAGGAGATTGAAACAAGTTCAATACGCGTCTGTATCCTTCGCTCGATACCATCAAAACTCATCACGTCGGCGGCATCAATCTGCTGTGAGACAGTCGCGTGTGCGCGGTTGGGTACATTTTTCAAAGAAATGATTCAGGCATTAAAGGGTTAATTATACATATACCGCGATTGCTAATTAACCCCATTGCAAGTAATTATTGTCTTAAAGGTAATATATAAATAAATAAATAAATGTGTGTGTGCCTTGCACTCTGGTTTCTTGCTCAAAATCAGCAACCAATATTCAACAGTCACTGCAATATAATGTACAATTAATTGTATTTTAATGACTAAACTTTGTGCCTGTAGTCATGAGGTGTTATAAACGCTATTCTCTCCAGACCTTCTATTCCTCAATACTCTTGATGTTTTGGGGGTGGGGGGTGGGGGGGGGGGGGGGTTTTGCCAAGACTTATTTGTGAGACATTCACAAGCACAATCGGAATGTTTTCAACTTCAATCAATTGTATGACGGTTTTTTTTAATTCGTAAATATGATAGATAGTATCAAGCATAAATCAGATAAATTGCACTTGGGTATTTACTTAGATAGCATAAATATTATCCGGAAAGTGTAAAAAAGCATATGAAGATAAAATTTTGATGAGGAAAGGGTAAAGACTCATTCGGGAAGAAAAACGCACTGGTCTATTCAGGAGATAACCCCGATGGAAGTGATGTATTTGCATGTAGTGTCCCAAATTTAATTCCGCAAATGGTATCATGCCCAATAATACAGATGTATTAATAGAAACAATTAAATATGACGTTTATTTGATTTTATTTAAGTAAGCATTCACATATAATACGATGAGTTGGGGTGTGCGATAGACTTACTTCCACGTGGTGCACCCTGGGCAATTATTATTATTCGGCAGTTGACTTCCCACTTTGATTTTCCTTCCCTTCTGTAAAGCCTGAAGTCAACAAAAGGGCCAATGATTACTATCAAAACGCCTGCCAAGTGGTATAAATACGACGAGTTGCTCTTTTGCCATTGAATCTGAGTGGTGTGACGTGCGACGCAGTCGGAAGTAGAGGCCTCTAGTGGGAATACGATAGCTTTTTTTCAAATGCCTTTACTATTATCAATAACAGCTAACTAGATTGACAAAATAGGCCCATTGCAGGACAGAGCAGATAAATCCTACTCAAGTCGCTGAATCTTAAAGGGTGCTTATCAATGTGCTCAAAAACTCCCAAAGTGTCTCCTTCGCAACTTATCTTTGATGTGGATTTGTGTTCCCTCTTCCAATTAAATACTCTTTCTCCAAACTGCGCCTATTTCATAATTGTTCCGACTTGAAAAAAAACATTGAAGTGGCTCTAATCCTTTGTAAAGGTACCTAGGCGGACAAGCCAAAATTGGACTAAATAAGTGCTATAAACAGGCAGTTGACTTCTGACTTCAAACTACCATGACCTCGCTGTATGTCATAGTCGATCACTTCTACAGTATTCACCTTACCCTACTCACAATCATTGTGCCTTTCTCTTTTACATCTGCAAATCACTCTTCGGTCCACCCTCCCCCCCCCCTTCTGTGGAGTTCGAAGTCAGCTAAGGGCTAATGATAACAATCGAAATGGCTGCCATTCGAAGTAAATAAATATCACGTTAGATCAGACGGCTAGTGTATTACGCGCGTGCTAGAAGTGTAAGAGCCAAATATGCTTAAACAAAGCCAAACTCAAAGTTCAGTGTGCCCATAGGTTAGATCAGTAACCAGTGCCGCCCGTCGCCATTGCTCTTGGTGGATACAGGAAGAAATAAGAGGAGATGAACGCTTCTTCTCACAATTTGTAATCTTTGAGACTCGTGATAACCATTTCCATGAGCTTTCATAAAAATCTACTCAGAACATATTATTTAGAGTAAATCTGTCAGATCAGTGGACACAAATCAACTTTTACTAACGGGTTCTCAATTATTAAGTACCTATTTGTGCGAATTTATTTTCGTCATCGTTTTGATAAAGAAGAAGTCATACACTTTATTTATTAGTGGAAGTATTCGATGTTATTACTCTTCGGCAGTCAACAATAACAGAACAGTCTTTTGAATTAATAATAAAATCCATGGCATGTTACTCAAAAAGGACAGTACAGCTCCATAGTTATTTAAAGTCCTGAACTTAGACCGATTTTTTGGTCGGAAGAAAGTAACCATTAAGACAATGAGCACATAAATCTAAAATTTTGTTTCAATAATTCACAATCATTTAGTTAACCTAAGCGCGAAGCATTAGCTTAGAAAAACCAGTTAGAATTATTATCGGTTTGGGTTAAATGAGTGACAAGATGGTTCACAGTTATGTGAATTTGCAATACAGGAAGCTCTAAAACCTGTTTTTTTCAATCATCGTTTATAATTATGGAAAGGAAAAAAACCGCATTTTAAGTCGTATTTCATTACATTATACCAGATTTTCTGAAACAATAAGTATAGTTTTAACAACATCTGGCTTTCCTACAGGGAATATTTTTGGAAGAAACTCGCCAAAGAAGCTTACGTTTCATATTACTTCCGTTGGTCATGATTAAACCAAGCCATTGATTGGATTCATAAATGGATGAGAGACGGTGCTTGTTTCACGACCCACTGTGCCCACTGCGTAACTCAAATGCGCAGGATAAATTATCTTATTTACAATAGGTTATGAAGATTCACCTATTTCTTCCTTGTAGTAGATGGAAGTTGTGATTTAAGCCGAATGATATATAGATTCAATAAAAAACATGCTCCTAAAATTTCATGGTTCCATAAAAGTTCTGATCGTAAATTGCAGATAATATAAAACAATAGTGTAATAAAGGATAGTGAAATTAGTAGCGTTATTATTTTTTTAAATAATCTTGGATTAGGAGAAGAGCTTGCGTTAACGAAAGTAATTTTTAATATCCATTTGGAACCTAACCAATATTTATCACTTAAGAATTCTTTGATAATGCAATTTTGAGCATGAACCGCAAATTGCAGGAAGAAAATATAAAACCATTGCTAAAGAAGGATGAATAATACAATGTGAAAGATTTCTTCATGTCAGAAAGTAGGTTGGTGTTGTAATACGATATAACTTTAATAACAATATTTTACTTAAATACACTTGCAAAGAAGAAGAAGTAGGAAGGAAAGATTTGAGTAAACTTACGCGAATGTCGTGAAAATAACTTCTCAAAACCTCATGTAAACATTATTGTTCCATTTAAATCATAGAACGCAATGTGTCGTTTTCAATGAAGAATATCTTTTGGCGGACTTTCCACTAATTATGAAAGTATTGCCATTTTTAAATCAAAATCTTCTTAAAAATATATATCCCTTGAAAATCATTTCTATCTATTCAATTAATATTTATTACATTGATAAGTATTTCATTCGAAAAAGCCCATCAGATCGTAAATCCAAAACTTGTTTTAGTTATGTAAATAAACGCATATTGTTTAAAGTGGGATCTGGGGTCCTTTAGTGATCGATTCATTTGCAACGCATTTTGTAGTTTTACAATTAGCGTCATCTTCAGTAGATCACTGCGCAATAATTATCTTCATTTGCTACGACCTTTGCACAAGGGTTGTTTGATCGTTGTACAGGGTTATTTTATCATTATCTTAAGGTAAATTATTTTAATTTATCAATCGGTGCATATTATTTTATAAGCGTTGAAATTTTTCTCTTTTGCACATATTGCATTTAAATATTTCGCTTTAATTTTGACATACTCCGTGATTTGCATACTCATTTGTAAATTCGATACCAATTTTCAATTGTTTTTTTTCGCTATTTATTACTAATTTTCATATTTTTTCTCTTCCTCTCAGTTTCTGCTTCATGCATCGGGATTTAAGCTAATCATGTCTGCAGATATCACTAAGGACATCGTTGCAATTACAACTTCGTGTGATTTAATGGAGCCTAGTGTACAGAATGGTGCCGTAGCTTCTAAACCTTTCAATGGCTTAGACTCCGAGACTATGCTCCCTTTTCCTTCTGGTACAGGTTCTCCAGTAACTTCTTTTCTTAATTCCACCGAACCAGAAATTGTGAAGGATTTTGTTTCACGAAATACCGAACACATATCCCGTCAACAGCGGTTACCCACAGATATTTCCCACCAAACCACTTCACATCGGGTAGGTTTACATTGCATCTAATTTGGTTAATCAATGCTTCCTTTTATTTGTAGCCCAACCCTAACCTTAATTTGCGGTACCGTAATATGCTAAATTTTCCGAAATATCTCCATAAGAAGAGCCTGGCATTTGAGAAGCGGATTAGGTAAGTTCTCATGAATCTATTATCTCATGGGATTTTGAAATATGGATTTATGGACTTTTCCTCTACTTAGACGATCCGGTATTATAACCGACCCAACTTACACTCTTAAACTCTTGCAGAGCTTTCTCCAACCCTACATTAATCGTGAGATTGATGCAATTATCAAAAAATACTCAAAGGTAAATTTCGTCTCAACTCTTTTTTGCCGTTCTTTGATGTGACCTTCCGTTTGTCCCTTTCTGATTGATTTGGTACGCCTCCATCCCCCCCCCCATTTCTTGAAGAGGGACAGAATCATTGGTAGTGCTGTGATGACAGCTTGTTATTTTGGTGTCTGTGCTAATGGCTCAACCAATTTTCACATGCCAAATATTTCAATTTTGAGGTCTTTTACTTTTACGTAGTAGTGGACATTGCAGTAAACATTATAGATTTCGTATGCGATATAATTATTGTGGCTCTATGGAGCATCAATTGTTAGGAACTTTTGCAGACTGAGTGATGCCAATTTTGAGCAATTTTCTTTCTTTCCTTGTGTTGTTAGCCAACGATGCGTCATTGCCTATATTGATTTTCTAGTATTTGCACAAAAACATGCAGCGCATATTGTGGGTTCTAGTTTTCGCAAAATATCCATATATATATATATATATATATATATATATAGTTATTTTTCCGACTGATTTTAAATAACATTTGAATCGTGGGGAAATCTCGAACCTCTATGATCTCCAAGACGTTGCGTGGTCTGGTTCTTGTTTAGGTATTATTGCCTAACTCTTGTTTATTGTTTACCTGATAAGCAGCACAAAGATCACAGGTGTGTGGAGTACTTTTAACAAGACCCAAAGTATTCTATTATATTTATTTACTAATAGCTATCTTGGCATTTAATTTCATGTAAAGATATTCCTCCTAATCGAACCTTTTAAATTGGGCCCGCAAATGGAGTTTCGAGTACTTTCTACTTAACCATTCATAGTTCGCTTTCCTTATAAGTTCCTTAAAGTTCGATATGATAAAATGAAATTGAATTTTTCTTTAAATGGAGCTAATTTCCGCGTTAGTATGTCTGCCTAGTTTACGTGAGCTTGTTCAAATGATGTTGAGCTCGCAATGTGCATTGTGAGTGATCTTAATAGACATCAACTCATGTCTGTTTTCACCCAATACTCTTTCCACACCCACGCACTTTTATCTATACATATGAGTAGATAAAATCAAGAGAGAAATAGAAGAAGAAAACGAAGAAAGCGAAGCGCAGTTGGCTTCTAATTTCGAATGGTAAGTTAAATCTCACAATAAGCAGAACAATATTTCAGCTGTTCTGATTCCGCTATATTCTTTCCATTCCTTCTACGGCGTACAAGTTTAACCCCCCCCCCCCACCTCCCTTCACTAGTTGCAGCATTTTTTACTTCGCAGAGTGCATAAGTTGCTAATTATCGATGATTTAAGGAGGTGATCTTAATTTGGAGTATGACCTAGCCACTAAACGCAATTCGTTAGAAATTGATCGACATGTGATTTTCTTCTTCACTCTGTGAAATGGGTTAAATTTGCGTTTCCTATTTATTGAACTAACATAAAGCCCCTTTTCTTCTCACTTTATGTATTGGAAACTAGTAAAAACTTGCATTTGGAATCCGAAGCAGTTCAAATTCCAAATAGAGATTGTTCTCTTATGCTCTAAGTAATGATGATTGCCCTGGTGGTGTGTAACGGTCAACGCACACGCCTACGAAGCTACACAGACTACGAAACGGTTGCCCTTGAGTGGATGCGTTGTCAATCGCACTATCTTTACAGCGACACAGTCATTGTGTCAATTTGTTGTCAAGTCCACTTTTTCATGCCTACGAATTCATACAGTAGGTAATTCCAATTACCTGCGCTTAAAATTTAGATATTTACTCCACATTGTTAGCGGATTAGAAAATCAATATGAATTGACAAGCCTTTGGGAAGGTTTTTAATGCGATCATCACCTCAACTGCATTCCGTTTAAGCAATTTACGCCACTTGTGCTAATAATACTTTAATGTCTACCTTCGTGTTTTTTTTTGATGTGGTGATTTTGATTGAAACTTTTGCGACAACAGTCGTATTCAACTCCTTAATTTATTTGATGATTCTGTGGGTTTTTTTGTCCTTGCTGCCTGAACGCGTCAGGTAACTACCGCTATTCCCTTGGGATCGCTGTCTAATAGTCCATTCCGACGGAATTTGACATATTATTTCTCCTTTTAATGGAGACTCTGAATTGCTTGAGTAAACACAAGCAAAACACATACACACACACACACATTTGAGTCTTTATTTCAGCGTATTTTGTTGTTGTTATTTACTTCCCCTTTTAAATATTGATTATTACAAGTTATTATTTGAGTACAAAACCTTGGAGAGTGAGGTTATATGCGTGATGATGTCCCCTACAGCTTCTCTCTGTTTCATGTATGATCGTTTTACCTCGTTCGTTCGTTTTTTTGCCGTCTTTGTGCGACCGAGTGCAAATAGTTGCGATTGGCAACAATTTTCCAACTATAACTCCAATTAATTTTCCGCCAGAACTTGCATAAATTAAACGGTATGTTCCACTGGCTTGCCAACTGATTTGAAATTCACCAATGTCAATCCAGGGTTCAGAATGGTAGTGCCTACTATTTAAGGCCACTTTATGGTAGAATGGCAAGGGTTTTATTTTAAATGAATTTCTATTTTATAGATGGGCTTATTTGTAGTATTTTTATGATTGTGCTTTTAGTTCATGCAACCAATTTGTTGAAAATAGGCTGATTAAAGGAGGTTCTCTCGAAGACTTTTCCCACGTTAGCCCAAGAATTTTGAAACAAAAGTCAAACTTTGATAATCTCCTACTGAAAACTTTTCTTTGCTGTTTGTATTCACTAGATTTAAGCCCACGTTTTTCGACAAGTTAGTCGTAAATCTTCGAACTCCATCTTCTATTCTCTTCCTCTTCTTCATTTTGGCGCAAGTAATTATTTTATTTCCATTGTTTCAAAGACATTACTTCAAAGAACTTGCAAAAAAGCATTACCCTTTAAATGGTTCTATTTGTAGCGGTGTCTTACGTCTGAAATATTTCAAAAAAATAACTTTTGAAGAGTTTAAAAGCCAGTTATCAAAGGATGCAAGCAAAAATCAATACCATTCACTCGTTTTTTATCGTCGTATTGTTGCCTTGAATTTGGAACTTTTTAAATTATGTTTATTTTGCTAGTTTAAAAGTTAACTATCTTGAAGCACGTGCAAAAAATCCGTACCGTTCGCGCGTGGCTAGTGGTTGCATTGTTTAAACATCAATCGATACACATTTGCGTTCCACATTGTCATGACCACGAAGGTTTTAAGCGCCTGGTCATTGTAGCAATACTGAAGGAATCAATAATCTGAGAGCCTATGCGATGATCAATTTCCTTCACGTATTTCATGATTCCATGGTGATAATGATTTTGAGTTTGCTGCACTGCGATGTTGGTTTGGATGTCTCCATGGTGTTTACCTTTTACCTTTACTAACCGCGCCATGGGGTTAAGTTATTTGTAATTTAAGCTGCATCTCTGTGGTGCTATTGTTGCCTTTGTAGTCTATTGGGTTGTTAATTGTTCGCTTTGACGACTTAATTATGCAAGTAAACCGCTCTATCAATGAATAATCCACTTGGTTTTTAACGCCCTAGTAGTGTATGAGTGTAAGTATGTTTACTAAGTCAAATGTGGCAGTTATGACAACCGTCGATGCATATTAACCAGCGGTACTAGACCATATTGCCCAAGAGAGGTGACAGAGTGTGAATTTTTTAGTCAGAATCCATTTTTTTCTATTTCTCTGCCAAAGATGAGCTGTAAAAAAGTAATACAACTTGCACATAATTGTGTTATAGATTAAGCTCTCGAGTTTGATCAAATAGCCTATTGGCGCATCCTATATTTAAATGGTAATTACCTTAATTCAGCCATTCTATTGATGAAATAAATGAGGGGGGGGGGGGGGGGGGGGGAGGGGTGGATTGACAATTACTCAAGCATTATAGTTCTACAAATATGTTGGCATTGGTAAAAATAGGTTGAAATTACAACATTTTTAACTACTATTAAGACTGCTTAATAGATTCAGAGGGAAAAGTCCCAACTCTAAAGGGTAAATGTTTTAATAACCAAAAGAAGCAATCAGATCATGCGTTTATGTAAATTGGAATTTCGCAGGAAAGCATTTGCTACCAGGCTAGCTAATACCTTGCGTGGGCGTATGGGTCTAAGTTGCAAGCTGTTAAATTAATGCTGTCTAGTGTGAGCTTGAATCGATTGCACCGAATATTCTCGACTTGGTTTCCTAACAGGATGCATTTTGGCACACAAGTTAATAAAGAAAATCGATGGATGGATGAATGAGATAACTTCAACATATGATATTCGAGGTGGATTATTTTGAGATAATGGGAATGGTACCACGACTTCAGTCATCCTCCCCTCCCCCCCCCCCCCCCCCCCCCCACATACTATCCCTCTTTAACGTCTTTTCAATTACTTTACAGGACTTTCTGTCTACGGCGATAGAGAATATCCGCTACAACTTGGGCGAGAGTGCGGTGTCCGAAGATGTGTTGCAGCATCTACAGTACAGTATCATGAAAGATGTAAGCCCACTCTGCTGTCTTTTCCACTTATTCCTGATTTCTCGGGAAATTTTGCATTATTTTGACCTTGAAGTTGCCACTGGGGTGGCGGTATGGCAATTTCAAAATTGCTTTGCAAGTAACAATTAAAGCTGCTTAGAAAAAAAACTTTGGAATTTGTTTAATCTAATTCTTACAAACTCAACGAATTTCGGTTTCATTTGAAATAGCTCAAAAAAAACTTTTGTAACTTCTCAATTGCACTCACTGTTGAAAAATGGAAGTTGAAGAATTCCCTCCAAAAATTCTTACATTTTTTGCCTATTATTAATTTACTTAGCTTCTGACAAAAAGGTCTTGTTAGCATTTGTTTGAACCGCGTTCACTCGACACAATTGAAAAATATTGATCCTCAGTCTATACTCATCTCCTTTTTTTCGATTGGAAAAAAATATTAATTGATTACTGTTTTGAGATTGAGGGAGATTTGCCTAAACCAATTCCTGGTCAATGAGACCGCTTTAACTGGTGGTATTTTTTTTTATAGGCTACTGCATTGCCGATAGGTGTACACTTATGTTCGCTTTACTACAATTTAGTTCAACGCGATAAAAAAATTATATTCATTTTTCCAATTTGTTTACCCCTATCCCTCTATTTCGCATTTAACCCCCCCCCCCCCCCCCTATAAGCGTCGGGTATCCATGGCCTCTTTATTAACTGTCTGTCCAAACAAAAGGGGGTGTTGGCCTTGCCCACAAAATCCAATTTTTACACTTGTGAGGAAGACTTATTGCTCTATCCACCCGCATTTTAAAATTGGGTGTGTTGGGCTGGTAGTTACCTGGATCTAACTAGAGTTAGCAAATTTGCATTGACAAATGTTGGATTTGATAAAAAAAAACGAATGTTAAAGCAAGTTAGTTGAGGGGCCACATTACCATTGCTTTTCCATTCTGTGGTGAGTTCTTGTTAATTTATCTCTCTCGATCTAGCTTTCGTATGCGTCGATGGTCAATGTTCTTTTTTTAAAGTAACGCTCCGATACTCGGGCTAACGCTCATTGACCTACTTGACTAATGGTATTTCCTTGAATAGGTCTCGAGGTAGGCTTCAGAATGCGAAGATTTATTCAGAAAGGTAACTCGTTTTTCGAGACGTGATTGAAATTATTTCCATTCATTTATATATTTGGACTCGGGAATCGAAAGTAGCACAATGTATAACTAATATACCTTGCATGAATACACAGTTCTTGCGTGAGCGATGAGAATTTAGAACGGTGTATCCAGAACCGCATTGGTTAGAAGTAAATTGCAATGAATAAAATAGGTAGAATAGGCAAACTCTGAAGACTCTTGAAGGAAGGTGTTTCCAAAAGGGAATCATCGTGGAGTCTCTGGAGAAGCGTGTATTTTTATCTCTTCCTCAACCAATTCCAATTAGTGCTGCTTAGTGGGCTCATACACTAGTGTATCAGCTGACGGAGTTTCGATCTATATGCCATCTGATTATAATGAGCTAAAATAAACGACTAGGATCGACCAGGCCCACTTAATCATATTTCATTTTACGGTGAGGTGGTATTTCTTTCCAACTAACTCGTGGAGCATTTGTCTTTTGTTCACGTTTTCCTCCAATCTCTCTTGGTGTGAATCTTGCCGTTAATGCCAGTAATGGGGGGGGGGGGCAGGTATTTAAATCGTCTTTCTCTCCCCATCTTTGTGTTTGATTCCCACGTGGTTGTGGTGGCATCCTACTCCCCTTCCACTAGACGTGCCTCCAGGCAGTATGTCATTCTGGCTAAGAAGTCGTCTTACGACCTCTTGAATTGGACTACCGATAATCAGTGTTAAATATTATAATTGGTCTGGACTGTAACTTTTATTTATAGAGGTGGCACTTGGTAATAATCGGTTGAGGTTGTACTTCGAATAGAAAGTGGGGGGGGGGGGGAGATTTAATTCTTGGGAATCGAAATTTCTACTACACAACTCAACTTATTTCTTATTCTTTTTTTCCAAACCATACTTTAGGAGAATCGTAGTGAATCTTTAATGTCAAGATTAGGGGGTAACATTTTGATATGCAACTCCTCAGCCAAGCATATTAATCACTAGACTTAAGGCAATTGAATGCTGAACGCTGATAGCACTTCCTTATTATTTGTGCCGCAACAATGGTGATTCCAAATCTTCTAGCCTTAACTAATTTGCCTCGATTACCTAACCACTTTTAGGGCCCTTATAATGCCTTCAAACTGAATACTTTCATGGCGTTTTTATCAATATTTATTAGTCATGATTTTAACGCAATCTTGTTCTCCTGGGTATCTAGCGTTTCAAAGATGTTTAAGGGAAAGAGAAGTGCTTCTTGAAGTTTTTACTTTATAAGAATCCTGCCGAACTGGTTCTTCAAATTACTTACCTCAGGATAAGGTTTCTCGTCCAGTGATTATTATGTTACCACTTCTGTTTTCCACTTATGAATAGGTACATCTGAGAAGTCTTATCTGTCCTTCATTGGGCACCTCTTATCTAGAGCTTCTCTTGCGATTCATTACCAAGCCTCCAGAGTACAAATCATTTGCAATTTTCTTTCATCAATAGTTCTTTCCCACTTGATTAATTGCCTTTTTATCTGCTTGTTTCCTATTTGCATTATATCACTTTCTCTTGACTAGGCGACAGCTCAGTATCTGGTCTCTGGCTACGAGTCCCCTTGTCTTTGTTCCCACCGTGCTTCTCCGGCGGTTGGTGTCACCAGCCCACAAACCATTTATCCCCCAAACCCTGCTTTAGCCACCTTATCGAACCCCATCTCAGCAACTGCGAACAGCACTACCTCCTCCTCTGCGGATCTCCGACGCTCCGTGCTCCTTCGATCCTCCGCTCGTCATCTCCATCGGCGTACCACTAGCAATAGCGTCAATCTTACTTCTCCCTCTCAAAAGGCTCCTAATTTGGCCACAACATCACCTCTTCCCTCCTCCCACATGGGACTCGGGCTCTTACCGTCAGAAGGAGGAGGAGGAGGGCAAAGTATTGAAGTAGAGCATGAGTCATCTCCGTTCCTTCTGCTGGATGAAAACACTAGAAGACCTACTCCATCTTTGAAGAGACGTAGGAGGCATACTGGGGTTCTTGACAATTTGACACCGCTTAATGGATCGCCAATGACCGATGGAACTCATTCGGTGAGTGATTGAAGTGCTAGACGCGCCTTTCTTCACTCTATAAAAGAAGTGAAATAGGGCTGTTCCACGAGAAATCTCGTTCTTAATTATGTGGTGATTTCTTACTCCTAGGAAAGAGAAGTCACCTCTGATGTTCTCTGTTCTTGAAGCTTTTTTGATGCCCTAGTATTAGTGAACTTGGCCCTAAGAAAGTAGATGCAATTCTTTTTCACTATGGGGAATTGACTTTATCCTGAAATGTTTTTTTATAATTAGCGTCCTTTTATAATTATAAATGAGACGTTTTTAGATGTAATAACATTTCAGATCTTATCACCCTTAGTAAAATCTAGTTGTTGAAGAATTCAATTGCGATCTAACTCTTTCGATAAATTATGCTTTGACCGTATTGAAGTAAATTTCCCTATGAGAATTTATTTTGTCACTTCTATGCCGCAGTAAGTGATTTGATCAACCATCTAATTCATTGATCAAAAGTTTTTTTGCATTGTTTTGTCTGCATAATCACTTCTCTTTTTTTAAAATTCTCCCATGCGATGTGAATTTTCTCACAGCTAAAAATGTGCTTCAAAGCTACTATTTTGATCCGAATTAAACTGCCTCTCTTAGTGTGCCTTTTAATGTTAATTCATGGCGATTGTGCCTAATGTGGAATTTTAGAATTGGTTCATATTATAATAAATTTCGAACCCCTATTTCTCTCTTACCTCTTTAACACTATGTTATCTTCTGGTCGATTTATTTATTGGTGTCTCAATTGGCCTCCCAATCGCATTCTCACAAAGGTTTTAATGGCCTTAAACTACGATAGTTTAGGAATATTTCTTCTTTATGTATCCGGGATGGAACATACGATTGGGTCATAAACTTGGAGATTTATGAAATACAAGTCTCCTTTAACTGAAACTTTATTGAGAATTACTCTTTTTCTGCTTTGATGAGCTTCAGACATCATTGGAACATTTGAGTTCCTTTTTCATGGCATTACTAGGTCGATAAACTGTCATATTCACCTGCCCTTACGGCCCTACAGAGTTTTTGACTTAATTCTTAGCGCTTACTAATATTGATCAGCTCTTTGATAAGGTTGGAAGAGAATGGTGGTGGAATACTTTGCCACCTTCTCCCCCTCCCGAAACTGTAGTCCCGTTTCTCTGGTAAATTTGAGCTCTACCACACAATTCGCTACACCTTTGTCAAGTACAAAATTGTGAGATTTGTACTTACGTCGAGGGCTATTTTAAATTTTGAGCATACAATACCTAATAAAGTTTCTCTCCAATTCCTCTATATTGGAAGTTTATGCGTGGGTTTTAGCTAATGGTAAGGTAGATGTCAATGTGATGTGGGTTAGGATCATATGGATCCTCAAAAAGGGTGATTATCATTCTGTTGAGTTAACTTGTTCTTAGGGTGGGATGAATGGGAAAACAGTTGTATAATCCGTCTCACATAACAAGTCCCTTGCATGGGTGGAACAGTTCGTAGATTCTTTTGGCAATAACCCTATCTTACAGAGCTTGAGTATGTATTCGCTTCCAAATTATAGTTTAGTCATTTGCTGATTGGCTGTTGAAGAATGGCTTTCGAGGCTCGAGTTTCACGTACCATAATAATGTAAACTTTCTAGATGACTAATTGGTTATGAAATGAAGTTGTCTGAGTGGCCATTTTAAGATGTTTTGTGTATTTGAAATTGCACTAGTCACTAAAACAAGAAGAATAAGGCTGCAATCTGTTAAACCATTGTGTAACCTGTGCTAAGTTCAACTTGCCTACTTTTGGAATTTATTTCTACATGAAATAATGAAACAATTCTTCACACAACTTCTTTTCTTTAGGTTGTTGATGGTCTTGGACCGCTGGAATTGGAGTAAGTTCAATATCCTTATCAACTTTTGTAAACATTTTTATAATATTCACTACGCTAATTCACCATAGAAACCCAGAGAATGCCTTCCATCTTTTTCATCACCTCATAATAGGTGTGGGCAAATAAAGGTAACACTCATCAAATATGTATACTGTGTCAATTAATCGGTAGAAAAGGTATTGCTATGATATCATACTTTTCGTTATTTTAAAGCTGCCATTCTATTGGAATTTTGAGCAATAAAATTACCACCTGCATCCTTAAAATTTATCTATTTATATCAAACGGTAGGCTTTTTGATAGTTATCATTAGCCCTTTAGTTGACTTCAGGCTTCACAGGGGGAGAGGAACATCAGAGCGAAAAAAGTCGGGAGGGGGGGGACAGAAGAGTGTTTTAAAGATGTAAATGTCAACTGCCGGTTTATAGACATTTTTGCCGTATGAGTATACGTTGCCCAGGTTGCGCCACGTGGAGGCAAGTCTATCGCACACCCCGCATCCTTTAAATACTTGCTATGCGAATTTCCTGAACTTCTCCTGAATTTATCTTTACCACGTTAGTTTGTATAGTTATGGAAATTGGGGGAGGGAGGGGGAGGTAGAATTCATCGTTTTCTTGTTATTCATGACATTGTTTGCGAAGATTTGTCTAGTTACTGATTTATTGGCACCCCTTCACGTGTCCATCCTTATTCTTTGCTCCTTTCATCAACTTCCATCTCTTGATGTACTGTGGATTAATGCTGCCAAAAATATAGCTAAAGCCCTATTGAGCAGTTAATCTATATGTACTTTTAACAAATAAGAGCTGTGCCTAATCTGATTGGTTGTTCATTTCTCCTCATGGGGGAGGTTGATGTTTGAAACAAATAGGATGTACTCAATTGTTGTTCGCCACTTCTCCCCCCCCCCTCCCTTTTCTACTTTTAGGCAATACTAGCTTCCTATTATTTCAATTTATTCGCCAAGGTATATTCTGCCAATCTCTCTTTTGTTAATAGCTACCAATTAGTCCATGGGTACATTTTGGTGATAGTATTTCAGTGATGAGTCATGGCATACATTTTATTCTTGAATGAAGTTGGAAGCGTTTGCTACTAACTTATTGAGCATCGTTGCTGCTGCTGCTGCTGATGGTCTGAATGCACATATGCATCTCGTGAAATCTAATTATCATAAGCCTGTTGAGGGGTTTTGAACTCTGGGTTATAAGCACGGCGTGGTATTTGAGCACGAGAAATAGCAAAATAGTTAAGTGAGGCCATACACCAATAATCAAGAATCTAACTTTACTTGAAATCATTAAGATGTCCATCTACTCATGCGGAATATAATTCGCTTTATAATATCCTATTTTTCCCCACTTCAATTTTTACTTCTTCATTTCGGACACTCTGATTCACTTCCACTCTAATGGTTAAAATCGAATAGATGCGAATAGCAAAGTCATTTTCCGATAGTTCAATTATACTATTTTTTCCACACTTCAAGTGTGTGTGGGTGGTGGTGGTGGTGGTGGGAAGGGGGGGGGGTTAATTAATCTTATAACACAAGTTGATTACAAGCACGGGTTCCTCATTAATGAAAAGAGTGTGAGAATTTATTATTGGCTTTCAAGTCTTCTTTTGGAGGTAAATTTATCTTATCCACAGCTGAAGTTTAGTTCCTATTAGCAACCTCACATCCGCAATAGCAGAACTTTAAATTAAGAATATCATGATCCATGGTAAGCGTTCTGAGTATAGCTGCTGCTATTTGTAGGACGAGTAAAAAACTAACTACTAATTAAATCGATATTGCTTTTACGCACACGTGTAAACTAATGTATATTTATCATTTATTCGAAGTGCTTAAATGTAAACAACCGCCACCCGTTTATAGCATGTCACTTGTGAATTGTCGCGGACATTGAGAACAGTAGTATTTTGTGTTTGTAGCCTGAGGTGGGTTGGGGGGGGGGGGGGGGGGGGGGGGGGGGGGG